GATGTGCCGCGAAGGTTCGCTCGGTACATGGGCACGGGGGTTAGCAGCTCCAGGGCATCCCAGTACAATCTGCGATAGTTCACCTTTGCAAGGTATTCGTTCGAAAACATCGCGTGAAAGGTTTTCAATGCGCGCCCAATTTCTTTATAGAATTTGAGCGTGCAAACTCCCTCGGACCATTCATTAGGTACCGGCATCCACCGAGCTGTGCATTTTCCGCCATGCTTTTAAATGGCTTTCCGCAAATGCTCGTTACGTTGACTGCGAAAAAAGATAAATCTCTGCACTTGGAGCTTCAGTTCAACATTCACTAGACCGAGACCACCTTTCTCCCGGCAAAGGAACAAATTGCTGCGCCGCATGCGCTCGAACTTAGAGCCCCATATGTACACAGCGCAGAACCGGTTCACTTTCTGAACATCAATAAGCTTACAAGGCATCGCTTGTGCCGCGTATCACACGGTAGGAAAAAATACCGAATTGCAGACCCTACTACGGTTAAATAAAGACAAATATCTCCCATACCAGTCCTGTGCTTTGGCATGCAAACTTTTCATATGGATACCCGAGTCCCCAGTCCTGAGGCACTCGGGGGCCAAGCTTATGCCTAAATAGTTTGTCACTGCGCAACTCCATGAGATGCCCAGAAAGCTCTCAGGGCGAGCGTCCCAGGCTCCCAACCACGCACCGGTTGATTTCTTTTCGTTCAGTCGAGCACCCGACACACTGCAGAAGTCCGAAACGTGCTTCAGCGCTAGTTGCACCTCACTGCGTGAGGAGCACAACAGAGTTAAGTCGTCTGCGTATGCAAGTACCTTTAGTAGACTTGGCGCCCAGTTGAATCCTCTGATGGCACTGTCATTGATGATGCGCCGGCACAGGGGTTCAAGATAGAGTGAGAACAACACCGGCGACATAGGGCAGCCCTGACGAACCGATGAGCGGATGGGGATAGGTTTGGTGAGGCCTCCATTGACCTTGATGTTGGTCGATATATCCTTGTAACAGATCCTGACGTATCTGCCGAGCGCCTCGCCTATGCCACAATGGTCCAGTAGCCGGAAGAGGAACCAGTGAGAGACACGATCAAAGGCCTTGCTGAGATCCATTTGGAGCGCGGCCAGGGGGCTGCCCTCCACTAATGCGTCTTCGCACATGACTCTCATCATGTGCAGATTGTCCTGAATGCTTCTACCACGAATGCCATAAGCTTGATGGTCCCCAACCACGCAACGAATGCCCCGGTCAAACCTCTTAGCTAAGATCTTTGCTAGAATTTTATAGTCCGTCGTGAGGATGCTTATTGGCCGGAAGTCTTCAACGCTCGGAAAGCTGTGAGGAGAGCGCTTCTTGGGAATGAGGGCTACCATCGCCTGCCGCATGGATGGAGGGAGAAGATCTCCTGCAAGGATGTCGGAGAAAACCCTGCAGAGAAGAGGGACCAATAGATCTGCAAACTTCTTGTAGAACGCCGCTCCAAGGCCATCCACGCCAGGAGATTTCCGAGAAGACAGCTCTTTTATCGTGCTGGCAACCTCCGCTTCGGTGATGTCTTCATTTATGGCTTCCCTAACGTCCGCCGGGATGGAAGGCATCTGTTCCAAGAAGCTTTGCAAAAGTTCAAAATCTTGAAAACTGTCTACTCCCAGCAGCTTTTCAAAAGCCATGTGAAGCGCTTGTTCTATGGCGGCCTGCTCCGAGACAGTCTCCGGGCCTACTTGAAGCTGCGAGATCTTATTAAATTGAGCACGCTGCCGTTCTTTCGTTTTAAAAATCTTTCCAGGCACTTCATCTTTCTCCACGGCGAGAACTCTCGACCGAATCATTGCTCCCTCATAGTCCTTTTCCATGATGGCCAGCAGGCGCTCTTTGCAGTTGCGGATGTCTTCCGTAAAGAGTCCAGGGGACACGTTTTCTTCTTCAATTAAACGCTTAAGGCATCTTTTAAGTGAGCGTCGATCTTTTTTTCGTTCACGCGCCTTCATTTGGCTGTGTTGTATAATCTCCATTTTTAGGCTTATTTTCATCTGTTCTCAACTAGCAGCGTCCACATGTTGTAATCCAGCTGCTTGCGTAATGACATGCTTAATTTTATTGTTCAGCTCCTCATCCTCTGTCAAGCTGTCGTTTATTTTCCAGTTTTTCCAGTCGGACCTGTACCGCCGCGATTTGGTGTGTTTTCCCAGACGCACGATTACGAGCGCGTGATCGGAGAAGGCAACGGGCAGCGCTTCATAACCGTCTAATGAGGCTTCCAGTTCGCTGGACACGTAGACCCGGTCGATCCTTGCGTGCGAGCTCGCCTGCCAATGTGTGAAGCCCGGCGCAGCTGCCGAAATGGACTCTGTTGCGTCGTGCAAATCGTAATCACGCAACAGCTTACGCAGCTCCACACGGCTGGAGTCCAACAGAAGGCCATTTGAAGAGTCTTTACCACTCAGCACACAGTTAAAGTCGCCTGCCAGAATGGTGGGGCATGGCGTATCTAAATATTGCCGCAAGTTCCTGAAAAAGTCCTTGCGGTCCGCAGCTTCATTTGGCGCGTGCACTGCCACTAGTTTTACAAGCGCATCGTCATGTATAATATCGATGGAGCAAATACGGTCGCTTTAGTCGGTTTCCCATTCCGAAGCGATTTGGAAACCCTTATCTTTTCGAAGAAGGAACGCTGTGCCAGCACTGTGTCCGACGGCTTTCGAATAAACAAAAAGAAAGTGCCGCTCAAAAAAGATAGCATATCTTCATTGTGCTTTTCGCCTGATAGCTTAGTCTCTTGTTAAAACGCTATGTCAACCCGTTCCTTCAATAGTAGGTTTAGGAGCCACTGTTTGCGTTTCCGTGCTATCAAGCTGACACAATTGAATGTGGCTACTTTGAGCGGCCCTCGCATTTAAATCTACGGCGAGGTGAAATAATAAAGGAGAAAGGCTTACTGTTTTGAGTGACCTCCCGTGCGGTCGTCCGGGGTGTTTCTGGGCTTTGGGTCGAATCTGCTCTTTCGCAAAGCGGTGTCTTTCCACTTCAACTCACAGCGTGATGGTTTGTCGGGGATTTGACTGCAGGCAGAGCAGTCGCAGAGCTCTGGTCCGGGGAGGCCGTCCCTTGCGTCTGCTTGGGATTGTTCCACAGTGCTGGCAGTGTCGACTTCTTGCACTGAGGTGGCCGTGCTTTCTGGTGCAGTTGTTTCCTCGTTTAACTCCAAATTTCGTGAGGACTGTTCCTTGCTGCTGAGGTTGCCTGGTGTGAGCGCTCCTGAGACTGGGCCCTCGGTGTCCGTGCCGTCTTGCCTTCCCTGGGCTGCTTCTACTGGTGATTGCTCTGCCGTGTCAGTCGCTGTCAGTGGCAGTGGGTCAGCTGAAGTGCTAGCAATGTCGGTGCCATAGGTTGCCTCTGCTTCATCCGCTTCCATGATGTGATCGCTAACTTCTTCCGGTACCTCCGCGTTAGTGACTGACGCATACGTGCGCACACAGTCGGAGGCTTCGTGCCCGTAGCGATTACACTCCAGGCAGCCTGGAGCTCGGCAATCCTTGCGAATGTGCCCAGTCTTCTTGCATCTGAGGCACAACGGCGCTCGACCCGGCACCAGAACCAGCGCGCTCGCTCCGGGCATTTTCAACTGATGCGGGAGGCTCTCCCTGGTTACACCATCTTTCAACGTCATGCGAACGAGCCTTGTCTTCGTCTCTATCCCCGCAAAAAAACCTGAGCGCACTTTGTCTCGCGCATCTTCTAGCACTTTCCCGTAGGGTTCGAGAGCCCTCCGGACGAATTCGTCAGGCACGTGAAACGGCACCAAGTGAAGCTTGAGGCTCACGTCGCTGGTGTCCGGATCGATGACGAGGCAAAGTTTCCCCTTAATTTTAAGTTGTTTTTCCTTCACGAGCTTCTGTTTTGCAGCTGAAGAGTGAAACGTAAGCATCCACACATGATTCATGTGAAAGGCGCCGAGCGCTGCAATGTCCTTGAGCACGGCGAGCCGCGCTATCTCGTTGCGAAAATCGTCGAGTCGATATGGCCGCTCAGACACGTCACAGTGAAGAAAAACAGAGTTCAAAGAAGCGGTACCTGAAGTCAGGGGTGGCAGAAGAATCTTGTAGTCTTGGGGAACGTCATAAGAAAACCGCGGCCGAAACCGGCCGTTGGAAACGCTCCGACGGAGCTCATGATTCCACCGTCCGCACCCAACGAGCACCGGAAGTAGAATGCTTAACCGATTGGACCATCCCGGCCACTGGTTTCGGCGGATTCAATTTCTGACCAGCTCAACTTGGTAGACGACAACCGTTGCTGATTTAAGGCCCGCGCTATTTCCGACATGCGGCAGTGACGTGGCACGTCATCTCAGCTTGGAAATGTCGGAAAGCGCCCGTCCTCCAAGATATCTAGGGAACCACTCCTCCCCATAAGGACAGGCTGCACCATATATATAATGGGAATGAGTGAAGATTGACAAGTGCAGCCGTCGTAATATTGTGAACGAAGAGGGGAGAAGGTGATGAATGCTTTTATTGCATTAAATTTAGGGAAAGGGAAAGAGAGCTGGCGAAAAATTGGGCCAGGAGCGGGGATTGAACCCGCAATTTTCGCCTGTCCGGGGCGACGCCTTAACCGATTAGACGATCCCGGCCACTGGTTTCGGCGGACTCAATTTCTGACCAGCTTTCTGTGTACTGTTTAGTTTCGAATTCGCTTAACTTGGTAGTCGACAACCGTTGCTGATTTGAGGCCCGCGCTTATTCCGACATGCGGCAGTGACATGGCACGTCATCTCAGCTTGCAAATGTCGGAAAAAGCCCGTCTTCCAAGATATCTAGGGAACCACTCTTTCCCATAGGGACAGGCTGCACCGTATATATAATGCGGAGGAAGAAGAAGTCTGTTCTGTTTTCACTGCTATTGTGGGCGTCTCGCTATATTTTGATTTTAATCAAGTTTCTCACTGCTCGGGCCAGAAAAAAACCATACGATCTTCTAATTTGACGCATCGCTCATCGACCATGGCCGCGGAGGGCCTTCCTTCCGGCCAAGCTGCCACGCCAACCGAAATGGAACAGGATTCAACGGGTATGTCGAGCTCCTCAAGCACCATATCCTACTACGAAAGTATCTCTGATGATCAAGATATGAATTCAGAGCCATATCAAATGGTCCTGGGCCGAAAGAGACGCAAACCATCTACTAGCTCAGACTGCAGCAGTAAGACAGTCAAAACCATGACCCAGGCTCATCCCCGCCTTACAGTGATAATCAAGCCCAAAGATCCAGTAAGCATGATTGCAACAATTAACCCGATGAAGATTACAGAGAAACTTGAAATGACTGCTCCAGATGGGGTCATCTTGGTTAGGCCCAATCGAAGACTCAACGTGCTGGCGATTGACACAAGAAACACTGAAGCCACGAAAGCGCTTCTTGGACTCACCTCATTAGGTGGAATACCTGTCATCGCTTATGAACCACTTCCACGGGAATTGGCGGCCGGAGTGATCTACCAGGTACCAGCAGACATTATCGAAGCCGAGCTACAATCGGCAGTCCGTGCAACTGTACCCGTCATCTCCATTTCTCGACTGGGTAAATCTGAGTCTGTCAAAGTCGTCTTCAGCACGAACGCACTACCAGAATATGTCACCGTGGGATACACAAGGTTCAAGCTGCAGCCGTACATAGAGAAACCACGTCAGTGCTGGAAATGTGGTCGTTTTGGACATGTCCAAACTGCCTGCACAAACGACGTGCGCTGCACTCGCTGTGGAGGAGCACACGACCGTATGAAGTGTGAAGCGGCTGACCTGCTCTGCACAAATTGCGGTAAAGCACATGACTCGACATCGCATCTGTGCCCTGTGTACCAAAGGGAAAAGAAAATATATCAGTACAAGAGCGAAGCTAAAGTTGGGTACACAACAGCAAAAGCGGCCCTACTGTCATCGAAGGAGAAAGTGTCCCAAGGTCGCTCTAAAACAGATGGTACAAAAACGAAACAAGACCTGGGAGCTCACCAACTTCTACAGGAGGGAATTCAAGATTTACAACCTTCCTCGTCAACACAGCTGTCAAACGCTAGACAAATCCAAACATATGTGAAGCCAAGAAACGCCCAAGTATCCACCTTGGAGTTGAAGAATGAAAACGAATTTCCCAGACTCCCCAATTCAGCTTCGAAATCTGATGTAGAAGTCAAAGAAAACAGGCAACCCAGGCAGGACAAATCCAAGGCACCAGCCAAAGATCAACCGTCTATTACTGGGGACAAGCTTCAAACAATCGTCAATGTCATCCGTAGTATCCTTTGCACATGGGAGTCTCCCCTATCCCAAGCACTACTAACTGTAATCGATGCAATAGTTCCACTTATCAAGCTATGGTGTCGTTAGAGAAGCTTCGTGGTGAAGCCACCGCCCTTCAATGGAACGCGAGAGGTCTTCGAAACCGACTAGCGGACTTTCGTCAATTTGTGTTTAAATATCAATTTCTTGTTATTGCGATTTCAGAGTCGCGAGTGTCTCACAACACCAGGTTATCAGGATATGAACTGTATCATTCTCAAGGAGGAAATGAACTCAGCAGAGTTTTACTCGGCGTTCGGAAGGATCTGACATTTGTTCAACATAACATCCCGCCACACCCTACAAATGAGTATATCGCAGCAACTATTAGAAAAGCAGAAGTTTCCTTCACAGTTATTGCTGGCTACATTCCGCCTCGAGCACCCTTCGACGTTCAAAGGCTCGATACTATTCTACAGCAAACCCCATCCCCTCATATTCTGACGGGCGATTTCAATAGTCACCACGCATCATGGGGAAGTAAAAAGAATAACATTCGAGGACACGCATTATTTGACCTCACTCTAAAACATGATCTTGTAGTACTCAATGACGGAAGTCCGACGTATTTCAGAGGGGCATCTATGAGTAGTCCTTTAGATGTTTCGTTCGCATCTTCAACCCTCTCTGGGGAAACAACGTGGTTTGCTGATATTGAAACACACGGTAGCGATCATGTTCCTACATACACTACGATTCAAGGAATGCACTGCACGAAGCGGCGTACCACAATGTGTTATACTGACTGGGATCTGTTTAAAACCAAAATGGAATCCGCATGTATCGCGGTAACCGAGCCAAAAGGTCTTGCAGAGGCTGTAACCTCTTCAACTTCTCAGGCGACAAAAAAAGTCAACATGACAAAACCTCATACTGCAGTCGATGGTGAATATGAGCGTCTTCGGGCCATTCGTCGACGAGCAGAACGCCGGGCAAGGAAGCCTAAGAATGTTGAGGATGTTCGGGCTTCTAGGCGAGCGCAAAAGCGTGTTCAACGCCACCTGGACAAACTTTCCAAAAGACGCTGGAGGTCACTTAGTTCCAGCCTTGACCCGAGAAAACCACTCGATCGAACATGGCAAATAATGCGAGGCCTACGTGCAAGGCCACAGCAAATTCACCCGTTCTGCGCCATCAGTCTGAGTCGCCAAGTAACAGAAACAGTCGTCGCTGAAGAGTTCTGTACCAAGATCACTTCCAGCTCCTCAAGGCCCCATGACAAAGTCAGTGCGCAGGAGGGACATGTATCCGTAAGTGTATGCAAGGCAATCGATGCATGTTTTACCTTAAAGGAACTTGATATGGCGCTCGAGATGTCTAACGTTAGGTCATCCCCAGGCACGGATGGTGTACGGTATTCAGCCTTACGCCATTTGGGGGAGGGGGCGAGGACCGCACTGCTACACATTTTTAACTCCTCGTGGGAAACGGGTTCTGTACCGAAGGAATGGAAAATTGCTCGGGTTCTACCAATCTTAAAACCTGGAAAATCTCCTTTGGACATTAACTCTTACCGTCCGATAGCATTAACAAGTTGCATAGGCAAAGTAATGGAGCGAATGCTGCTTACCCGTATGGAATGGGATCTAGAAAATAGAGATCTATATCCTTCGTCTATGAATGGATTTCGACGCGGAAGAAGCAGCATTGACAACGTTATTGAATTAGTAACTAGTATTGAACAAATGAAGGTAGTAAATAAAAAAACAACAGCTGTATTTGTGGACATAAAGTCGGCTTTTGATTGCGTAGAACACAACGCTATTCTTCAAGATATGAAGGCCATTGGATTTGGAGGACGTGTATACAAATGGATAGCCAATTACCTAAAAGAAAGAGAAGTCTACATATCGACACAGGACGGCAACACCGGTCTTCATCATATTACTAGGGGAGTACCACAAGGAGGCGTCCTCAGCCCGATGCTTTTCAGCATTTCTCTCATAGGTCTCCCGAAAATTCTCCCAAAAACCGTTCACGTGTCTATATACGCATCAATATCATCTGTTGGGCTAGTTGGTTAGACATGATCAGATAAAATTAGCGCAAACGACAAGAGAAGAGAAAGGTAAGACAGGACAGGACAGAGCGCTACTCACAACTGACGTTTTAATAGAAAAGACAAGAAGGAAGTGAAGCATTTTTTTAAAAATTAAAAGGAAGAGGAAAACCCAACGAAAATACGCCCGCGCCCTAGGTTGTCTTTCTAAAAGAAGAAGAAAAACGCCTAAATCGTGACTACCTTGGGTTGCTGTACTAAAGGAAGAATAAATAAGAAAACATCTCAGAAACTAAGCTAGAACGTTCAGATGTTGAACACTTCGTCGGACCTAATGTGAAACAAAAGTTAAAATTCTATCTTCATGTACACTACACACTTCTTGCGGCGTATGGATCGTTACTGGTGGAGTCCAAGATAATGAAGTTCTTTTGGTGAAAGGGTCACCGAAGGGGCCCTTTTCTTTATTTGTATTTATTTATTTATTTTTTTTTGTGAAGTGTGAAGGGAAGTGAAGCATTTTTAAAAAAATGCTTCACTTCCTTCTTGTCTTTTCTATTAAAACGTCAGTTGTGAGTAGCGCTCTGTCCTGTCCTGTCTTACCTTTCTCTTCTCTTGTCGTTTGCGCTAATTTTATCTGATCTATATACGCGGATGATATCCGCTTCTGGACTTGCAGTAGATCTCTGTATATCAACAAAGCAAGACTACAAAAAGCCATTAACATTACCGCACGGTACCTACACCTCCGAGGTCTGCACATATCGCCGGAAAGGTCAGCAGCGATGGCATTCACAAAAAAACACACGGACAAATACCCAATTGAAATAGACGGAAAGGAAATTCCATATGTCACGCAACATACCTTCCTGGGTGTCACTCTCGATAGGCAGCTGACCTGGAGCCCCCATGTAAAACGCCTTAAAAAGAAGCTCTCCTCTTTCATCAATATAATCAGGATGATTAGTGGGACCAAATGGGGATGCTCTGTCTCCGCACTCTTTGCCCTTTATAATGCCTTATTTCTCGGACTTCTGCGCTACAGCCTGCCTGCTATGCATAACATCTCACGTACTCTTCTAAAAGAACTCGAGAGTATTCAAGCACAAGCTCTCCGCGCATGTTTAGGGCTTCCTAAAGGCACTTCTAATTTGGGATCTCTTGCGGAAGCAGAAGCGATTTCACCGGCCGTTTTAAGAACGCAAAAAACGTTAAGAGCCCATCTTCGTCACAAATCTCGTACATATAAGCATCACCTCACAAATATGGTAACAGAGAGACCATCATCTGGCTTTGCACAAGTTATCGCACTCTTGGAGGATTACATCCCAACTTCTTTCGAAGCTGCGGTAGTTCCAAGCTATCCACCTTGGAGGTACCCTCACTTAGAAATAAGAACAAGTATTCCGGGAATCGCTTCGAAGAAAACAATGCCCACCCCCGTGATTACGCAGACAGTGCTGGAATACATAAACCGAACTTATGCCTCATTTAGACATGTCTTCACCGACGGATCTACAATGTCAGCATCATCGACCCTGGGAGCCTATATTCCGTCTCTGGACGCATGCATACAAGCAAGGTTGAGCCACGTTACGTCATCAACAGCATCGGAACTCGCAGCAATTCGAGCAGCTGTTGCTCGCGTGGGAGCCGAGAGTCCTAGTTTTTGGGCTATCTTTGTGGACTCTAAAACTGCTCTACTCACCCTCTCTACGATGAAGAAATGTAGCCCGAACTTGCAACTCGCACAGGATATTCTGGAAGCAACTCGCCAAGCTTCATGCAAAGGGCACCAGTTTATTATACAGTGGATTCCTGGTCACTCTGGTATAACCGGAAATGTTATCGCTGACAGAGCCGCTCGAAACGCTCATGAGAGCGCTATTACTGTGTCAATCCCGTTTTCTAAATCAGATGTAAATAACTTAATTAGAGATATAGGCCAAGAAATAGCATCTTCCCTTTGGAGAAATCCTCAATATCATTATTCCTATCTTTACAATATCGATCCCAAACTTAGATTTCGGGCACCTCGGGGACTACCAAGGGCAGCCGAGACGGTCCTACATCGCTTGAGACTGAATGTGGCATACACCAACAGCTACCTTTATAAAATCGGTAGAGCTGAGTCTTCTGATTGTGCTTCGTGCGGAGTCACCCATAACATCGAACATGTATTGTGTGAATGCAAGGACTACAGCCGTGAAAGAGAGCTTATGAAGACAGACCTGAGGCTACAAAATGAACAAGACGTAAGCATTCGTACTCTGCTTGGTTCATGGATCTCTGCTGCTGAGGGGTATAAAGCTACGAAAGCTCTGCTGAAATTTCTAGCAGCTACTCGCTTACAGAAGAAACTGTAGGGGAGTAGATGAACAGCAATGGCCGATGACAATTTCCAGTGAAACATTTTCGTTAGTTTTTTTTTTTTTTTCTTTTTTTAGTTTTTAATACTTTGGTTTTGTGTGTTTTCTCCCTCTATCTTTTTCTGTTTACCTTTCTCTCTTCTATCTTCTTCTGTTTACCTTTCTCTCTTCTATCTTTATGATTTTCGCTTCCGTTCATTTCACAATGTAGCAAACCAGCACCAGGCGCTGGTTGACATCATTGTTTAATAAACGCCTACCTCTCTCTCTATATATATATATAATGGGAATGCGTGAAGATTGACAAGTGCAGCCGTCGTAATATTGTGAACGAAGAGGGGAGAAGGTGATTATTGAATTTATTGCATTAAAGTTAGGGAAAGGGAAAGGAAAAGAGAGCTGGCGTA